GTGCTTTCTGCATTATTAAACAGATGTATTGTGTATTTATTTGTAGAAAAGTTCATAATTTAAAAGGAACTGAAGAGTTTTTATAGACATTAACGTCAATACATTTATACAATACTTTTAGAATAATTGAATTGCAGTAAAATAAGTTTTCATTAATCACATTATGTAAGTAAATTTACATTTGCTTTAGATATTTTCATTTATTTAAACAGAAAATTCCTCTTAATGTAATAATCACCGCAATCTATGAATCGGAAAGTCTACGTTCCTACGTTGGGTTCGACAATAATTTTCAATAAAATTGGTTCGTTTTAGGAGATGTACTGTCCAGTGCAAAATGGTTTTCCTCATCGTGACGTGAATCACGTCACGTAAGTGACGTCATTTGACCTGTCAATCATTTCTACCTGTGCTCCCATTGGTTTAAAATGGACTGCGCCGTTGTATGATTTATTGGGGGGTGATAGGGATGATNGATTGACAGGTGAAATGACGTCACTTACGTGACGTGACGTCACGTCACGATGAGGAAAACCATTTTGCACTCGACAGTACCTAAACTTATTGTTCTGTCTACATATGGTCTTAATGGATTCGGAGAAATCACACTTGCTCCTATTCCAAGTCATATTTACTTTATGCATTTATTGTATCGTAAGTAGTTGTACTATATAAGATTAAAATTATTTATTAATTGTTAATAACAATTACCTTTTTTTAATTCCAGGAAACTATTTTACAAACCCTTTTCCTGCACATTATAAGTGCTCATCAATCGAAAGAACCGAAATACAAATGTCATTGTTTCCAAACATTCCAGGTTTCAATATTTTTAATTATCCGTTCACGCTCTTTGGAACCGCATCTATACTTCGTGACAAGTCAGATTTGATAAAGGAAATAGAGAATGTATGCCAAAAAATGAATTTATCGGACGAACAAACAAAATGCGTCATGTTTTACAAAGATATTGCAGTATATTCGTTCGAAGAAGAAACTGAACATTTCCTAGATTGCTCAGACCACCGTGATGTATACAGGCTCACATTATTTCATGGTGAGAAAGTGAAAGCTTTTCCTGTTTATATTCATATTTATGCACACCGTGAAACTGGTTATACGACTATCAAAGAGATTGGAAAAGCTGAAATATTCTCAACTGAAAATGGTACAGAAGAGATGTTTCGCGTGTATTTTTCGTGACGCGTGTACACATTGCATGGATTCAGCAACTCGAGCATTTAGAAAAGTGTTTCCTTTAGCGAAATACGTTCATCCCAAGCGTAACAGAGTATTTTAGTGTAGAGCACAACTATTTGATTCTCTGCACTACAATAATGGTTTTCGTGTGGTGGGAATAAATTTATTATATTAAGCTGGCTTTGTTAGAATTTGGCATTTAATTGTCTTTGGTTTATAGTATTGTTCTAAATCAGAGATTTCAATCCTATCTGCATAATAACTACACTGAAAGTCTTAGTAGTTTCCAATGGGCTGTTTGATAACGGTAAAAATGTTTCAATCAATTTTTCTGCGGTGCCGAGAATCATTTCTGCAATCGAAGAGTCCTAATTTTTGTTAAAATCAGTGAACTTTACATCTCTGTTTCAAGCTAAACAGCTCATCAAAGTGACAGGTGTTTATATATGGATTTGCATTACAAAAAAAATCATTAGCTAACTTATTTACAGTGATTCTCAAACATAAGCACTTATCTAATGTAACTTATTCACACTCATAATTTTCAAATAAAAGTAATATTAAATAGAATTTAATAGTTCGTTTTTTTCTTTCGTAATGAACTACGTTAATCAGAAAATTAGCAAAACTCATTATATTAATGTATAACCGGGCGAGTTGTTTATTTACACACAGAAATGCCAACTTCTTCGTTGAAGGAACAAACTTACGAGAACAGTAAATTTTAATTGTAAATATTAGTAATTTTAAATAAAAAATTAATTGCTCACTTATTAATTAAGAAATAATTTCAGATATGATTTAAATACGTAGTTTTGAAGTAATACAGGTAGCCCTCGGTTTACGCCGCAGTTCCGTTCCTACGAAAGCCGGCGCAAATCGAATCGGCGTAAAACGAACCCATATTTACAGTGAGGTATAGGGTTAAGTTCTACATAAGTGAAAAATAAGCTAATAATTTTGTTTATTAATACAATATAATACAAAATGCATATAAATTTTTAATTTTTAAAATATATTTTATCATAAAATAAAGTAAAATGCTTTTATTTAAAAATTTTAGTTTCGAATTTCTTACATTTTTCGGAAAAAGTATCCATCTTTGTTTATATTTTTGATTTCTTTCATTAAGAATTTCGAAATATGGTCGAATATGATGCTCCTTTTTACATTTGCACTTCGCTCCCAACATTGTCTAACTCACAAACTTCATCCGTCAAACTTTCCTTAGTTGAAAGGATACGTTAACCCGACGTAGAGCTACAGACGAGCGAAGACACTGATTGGTCGACCACCGGTCGCCGTAGCGCATATATAAGGTCAGTTTGAGCGGGAAAATTCAAGGTGGCTAAGGAGAGATAAATATCGTCTGGCCAACGAGAAGTAGATTTGTCTCACTAACGATAATTTGTGATCGCCGGAAGTGCTATTGCGTCGTAAGGTGTTTTCCTGAATGAACTGATACGGGATACATTCATTGGCGCTATGGATTCGGACGCCATTTATTGGACTATTAAGTTTAATATCTTGACTCGTGGGTACCTAAACGTTTAGTATTTTAATATTAATTTAATGCAAATGTATACATACCCAATAATATTAAACAGAAAAAATAAATATATTCAATAAAAATCTTTGTTTTAACGAATGTACAAATGTCGCGGCTCGGTAAATACGTCAACACTGAAATGAAAATCAGTCTGGCATAGGGAAAAACGGCGAATTGCGCAGCGGCGTTATTGTGAATCGGCGTAAACCGAGGACTATCTGTACTGTACAATGATATACTTTTAGCAAACTCTCTTAAACTGTACTACACGTAATTAATGAATGGCTTAAAGAGACCTCCAATATTTAAGGCCCAGTCCTCCATATTCATGATGGCATAGGAAATTAAACGAAATTTTAAATTGTTAAAAAATATTATAGGTAAGTATATTAAAAATTGTTTTGTTGCAAGTAAATTTAATATCGAACAAAACTGGAAAAAAACACTTTCCAGAACGATTTATAAATAAAATAAAAATTATTATTTGTAACAAAAAAGTAAGAGATAAAAAAAAATTAAAAAATCACAAAGGAATTAACTTACAAAAATAATCACAACAATCACATGTAAGGTTTACAAGCAGTATTCTGATTAAGTAATTACATTAATAGATAAATATGAGGGTCATACTGAAAGTCATGAGGCATAATTTTTTATAAATCAGATTAATTTATTTTTGGAAAAACAAATACATCACATTATTTTTCAGACTTTTCTTTATTTTTTCACACAGTCTTCATTTTTTCTACGGTTGTGGGAGCTTGATAATTTTTGTTTAATATATCTCGTAAAAGTTATGCCATTTTTGAATATATTCTTTCTCGTCATATTAATTTTTAACTATAATCATACAATGTTTCCCCCTTCAAAACTGCAGAGAACGACATTTACGAAAAAAAAAATAATAAAATAATTCCACAAAAGAAACAGTTATTCATAAATGTTTTGTTTTTATTATTACTGTACAGTGGCATAGAGTGGGTGTCAGCCGCCCGGGGCAGAGGAAAATTTCGCCCCCCCTTATTTAGGTATCTCAATTTAAAAGACTAAAATTCAGTTTCGTCACAGAATAAGTAATGAAAAATTCCGTGCTAGTATTGCCACCTTTTTAAAATCGCTGACCCGGAAGGCAGGTAAGGTTTGTTCGAACAGAAGTTCCTGACGGAATGTCATTTTTACAATGCAAAGAATAATGTGCAGTGCATGCTGGTTCTAAATCAGTTACAATTAGTGACTAGGGAGACTTGGATAGGAGTAACGCAAGTGACTTAGCTCTATTGGATATTGGATGTGTATATATACCAATAAATCGTACAAGCAAAAAAAAGGTCGATAGGTCGCGCACGATATCCCCGGACGGCGAGTCGATACCCGGACTGTCCGGATGGTAACACTATTCCGTGCTCATTTCAATCGGTCCGAATCGTAGGTAAACGAAGATATGAAATAAAATGGTTCAAATTCTTACAAGATATTATTATTTATTATGAAATTTTGTCGCTCCCTAAAACGTAATTTTGCCGCCCCCTAAAATGGGGACGGCAGGGGCGGGCCGCCCCCACTGCGCTACGCTACTGTTACTGTATTATTATTTGTAAAATGTACTGTAATAATATAGTGCAAAATGATGCCATTTTGTAACGATAAGAGTAAACGGAAGAAAGAAATTGTAGAAGCTGTCTAAAATAAACAAGTTTATACGGTTATTTAAAAATAATCGCTTCTAACCAGAACGAACACACACAAAAATTAATAAATATTTTTCTTATATAATTAAAAATTATTCTCACATTTATAACGTTCCGTAAAAACAGACTCAGGGCCTCATTATGTCATGGGCCTTTTAAGTGTTACTTAACTGCACTTGATTCTAGAAATTTTGTAATTTTCGATAATTATACTAATAACTGAGTCTTAGATTAAGTTCCTTATATATTTGTTAGTAAAGAACTCTTTGCTAAATATTTGTTTCTTATAGGTAATTGTCCGCCTTTCGACGGAAACGCGAAGAGACGTTAGAGAGATCCTACGTCTAGCCCCTTGAGCGAGTATTAGTTCGAAATTATGCCGCTACGACGAACAGCGCTAATAGCGGGACTCAATTTATGGTATTTTCTGGTCATAGTTATAATTTACGAATACTTATTACTTGTACCGGTATATCACAAATAGTACTGTTTAATTAAACTTTGTCTATGACTATATTTTAAACCTCACTCACTACATTCCATTTTATTTAACGTATAACGTCTTTAACAACGTTGACAGTACAATAAACAAATGACAAACGTGCTATTTTACTCTTCGGATCGGGCGAAAAGGTTGACGTTGCGTATGAAAAAAAATCATTCATTTATAAGTAACTTAAAAATTTTAACTTATTTTCATTTTAAACAAACACAAATTAAGAAATAAAGCATTCGTAATTTGTAACTATGACCAGAAAATACCATAAATCGAATCTCGCCATTGGCATTGTTCGCCTTAGCGGCATAACTTCGAACTAATGCGCGCTTGTGGAAAGTCACATGTTAATCTGTGACAGTAGCACTCCACGCGAACCCAAAATGTTTCTCGCAGTTTCTAGAAGAATGTTTTGGGTAGCGGATGAAATGTCCTTTTGGCTATTTCATATAACATCAAATTAACGTCATTTTGCTTCATTTTGAACTTACATCTAGCTTAATAAAGTTAAAATAGATTTCGCCTTAGGGCAATAAGACAAAATTTAGGTTATTTTTAAAAAAAGGAAACTTGAGTTTATGGCGTAGATTTTTCTGTTTGGGCTTGACACAAAAACACAATTGTGGTGATACGCTTCTAATGTTGTCTGCAGCAGTTTAAAACTTGAAGACACGGATTGTCATTGTCCTTCGTCATAGCCGACAAAAACGTAACAAGAAACACTTGAAACACCCATAAGTGCAGCCAACCTATCGACTACAGTGACCGGTTAAAAGACGCATACGTGCAGCCGCAGGACACATATATGAGACTTGAAAAATTAATTTCGTCAAGACATCGTGCATTTTAAATGCCTGTCATAAAGATCAAAATACAGTCGACCCCCCTATAAGACGGTAGATACGTTCCGTTTTTTATGAAATTGATGTTTTAGGAGACCTTGCCAATCACAGCCCGACACGTGTGAAGTTTACGGACTATGGCTGTTTGAAAGGTTTTCTTCCATAAAATTAAACGATTCCTAGACTAATTCCACTCAACATTTCCAAAATACGTATATTTTTGGGGGGAATAATCCGTATAAACTATGTTATAAACAAAAAATTGTAGGATTACTTACCGAGTGTGCACGTTCGACGTCGCCATTATTTAAGCTTGTTTTCGTCGCGGATCAGCGCACCAAACGGCGGCCGCGATTTTTGATAAATTATTTTTCTGCGAAAACTTCGTTGAACTTTGGAGACGTCGTTAATATAAATAATTTTTATGGCCGTTAAATAAGAAATGTTTCTTTCACAAGAAATGTATAAAATTAGTGCTGTATTAGCCTTACGGTACCTAATTTACATACTGTACAGACGATAGTAAACTCAACTTACTCGCCTAAACTCTCCATAGCGTGGCGCTGGACGGCGGAAAGTACATATATAATTATAATAAAGTTACAATAAATTAAGTTAATATATAATTATACATACAGTACCTAATTTATATATAATACTATACAGACAATAGTGAACTCAATTTACCCGCCTAAACTTTCCGTAGCGTGGCGCTGGACGGCAGAAAGTAGTTCGGCTGCCCGATGACGTTTTACCGAATTATAGGAGTTTTTACCATGTTTGTACGGATACCGTCGCAATTTTTTCGCCGTCATATAGGAATCCGAACTATAGGAACCCGTGTTATAGGGGGTCGACTGTAAAAGGTTGTCGTACAGATCAATGTAAATGGACAGCAACCATAAACTCGATTATATTGAATACATGGCGCCCGACGAGCATACCACTGGTAATCCACCCTTAGACTTTACATGGAGAAATTTCACTCCAAATATCTCAGCTTAGGATAAAATTTCAAAATTCTAGCTTCGTCATGACATCGACTTTGAGAGATTGTACTGCACATATTTTCAAAAAGTCGTGCGGTTGTTTTGAACTTCGATTACAGACAAACATTTTCCGAATTATGAAGAGTTCTGCTTAATTAAATTTAGGAGAACAGATGATAAAATAAACTAAATACTAGAGATTTGAATAACTGTTGAAACAGTAATAAATGAAGTAACTGTTTCAAACTGGAAAATGCCGTTACTCAATGCAATTACAGCTTGATCTGGCTATCTTCACTTGTTCTCATATACCAGCGGTGGCAAATCTATGGTACACGTGCTTAAGTGGCACGTTGGGATAATCACTTTTTAAAAACTCTTTCCACCCTGTGGTCACTCAGGAGGCTTCTTTTAGCAATCCCATTATGGGTTCAGCCAGGCTCTAATGGGGCGGCCGGCTGGTGAGGGGCCGGGCCCGACATATCCGGACGGATCCCCATCTAGAAAAATTCATGAAGCTTTTTCGACCCGTCCAGATTCGATGCCGGGTTTCTCAGAGTGGTAGGCTACCACTTGACCGTTCGGTCATCCGGTCATCTGGATAATCATCTGGCATTTAATGTATCACACGATTTCGGTTTATCAACCATCTTTTTCAATCATCCTTCCGGTTTATCATCTGATCATCCTTTTTTCAATCAGCTTCTTTACAATTATTCTAATTAAAGTATTTTCATTTTATTTCATTAAATATTATTTTTCAAAGTGTAAAATTTCGGCAGGCATAATTATTTTAAAAGTAAATTATGTTCACTATATGCCACATGGACTCAAAAGTATTCGCCATCCCTGTCATACATTTTATGTATAGACATTAAAAGTGGAAATTCTTTCATACTCCTTTCCTTGCCTTTCATTTGTTTTGGTCAAATTGCAATGGATAATTTTTCTATTCGTTAAGTCAGATAAAAATAAATGTTCTGTCATTTACTTCCTGGTCTTTAGTTTTTTCCCGTTGCCTCTATATAGAAATATCATTACAATAGAATTTTATTTTGACTCATTGAAATTTACAAAAGTAAATATGTAGGTACACTAACACCAAATAGTGAATCTGTAGAAATTTTTGTCTACAAACTTATAATTTTGTAAATTTTTAAGAATAACATTTCTACATTTTTGTAATTACACAACTATAATGATTTGAATTTTTATAATTGTCTGCAATATAATGAAAATTGGAATTTGAAGTTATATTACGTAATCATAATATATTAGTAAGTTATAATAAATAATTTCTCGGCTTTTTTTCAATTGGACTATTATTTCAAAATTATACCAAAACCGGAAATTACATAAATTCGATACTGTAAGATAATAAAGTATTGAATTACCTCTGATAATATAATAGTCAGAAAAGCAAAAAACAAAGTTCTAACAGACAGTAATCATTAGTTCACTATTCACTGATTTCTTGGGTTTGGCCAGGTCTGCAATGGGGCACCTGGGTGATGAGGGAGGGATTTGATATATTCAAGACGAACCACCCAGAGAAATTCTTGAAGTTTTTCGACCGGTCCGGATTCGTTGTTAGTGGCCACAGAGCAGTAGAATGACACCTTAATCACTTGGCCATTCAGCCATCTGTTTGAAAGTTTTAATTTTCTTAATTAATATATTTTTTCGTACGTAATCGGTTATCCGAAAATAAGTTATCCGAACAACCCGAGTCCCCAATTGATTCGGATAAACGACGCTCTACTGCAGTGGCGGCCTTAGGGGGTGGCGAGCAGGGCAATCGTCCGGGGCCTCGCGCAACAACCAAGTTAAAACTTTTTATTTTATCCTTGGCTATTAGTTATAACAATAAAATAAATTTAATTTATAGTACAGTATATATTAATATTAATAAGTGTTTACTATTTCAATTCACATTCTTTGCACAAAAAACAAGGGCCTCGCAAAGATCTGCCGCCCAGAGCCTCGCAATGGATAAGACCGCCGCTGCTCTACTGTATATATACTTAGTTATATACTGTATAAATATACAGTATATAACTAAGAATTTATTTACTTATCTATATGTAAATTACAGTAACTTAATTAAATATTATACTCTAATTATACTGTATATAGTCTTTCCAGTGCAAGTTGGCAGTTGTCAAATCAGACTAAATCACTTTTAAATTATTCATCAGAGAGAAGGGTCACCCAGGGCTGCAATAAACAATTAATTACTGTATTTACACAAAAAAAAAAAAAAAAAAACAATCTGCCTACAACTGTTTGAAACGTGGTTTAGTCCATTCGATAACTCTGACTTACATTGGAAAGCCTGTAGTTAGGATATTATATATAACCGCGGCTTTTATGTGTAATAATACTTTATATTACTAAACAAAAATAATAATCATATATTTGTAAAGACAATATTCGTCTATGAAATCCAAACTGAATGCGCGCGCGTCGGTTGCTGATAGTGCTTTTTTTTATGTCTGTCCGGCAGTCTAACGTACGCTGTCTATAATACATGATCTGTCTTGTGTAAATTACGCTGTATTTATTTCATACATTATGCAGCTACGTAACATACATAATTAATAACGTGATAACTTATTATAAGATGTATTTTACATATTTTTATATGCATAAACATTATTAAATGTAATTTTCCATGTAACGTTTGATTAACAAAAACAAAAGTTCTTTCAGAAACAGATCGATGAACCTATCATGTTTATTCTAGTTTCAGTTACCACATGTTTTTTTATAAGGTGTTTTTGTAATGAGAGATGATATTGCGAAATTTAATTAAATTAGATGTGTAGAGTGAGATAAAATTTAATTTTAATAGAATAAAATTCAATCGTGTCGTTAGAAATTTTGCTCTATCTATAGGAAGTGGGTGGTACTTATTACTTTTTATCTTTTGCATGAAACTGCATACAGGAATAAATTAAAATTTCAAAGAGAAATTGAGCAATAATACTTTACAGCTTTGCAGTTGCCTGACTAGATTGTACTGTAAGCTTGCTATAAATAATACAGTATATCAAAAAGCATTCTGTATATCTAATGTAAAAACTGATATTGCTGATTGATAAAAAGCTGAATAACTGCAATAATTGCTTGTCATCTATTATTACAGAGGTTGGATCAATATATAAGGTGTAATTCTTTGAAACTTCTTACATAATTACAAATACCTTACAAGTTTATCTCTTGAGATTGTAAATCATGAGGAATCCAGAAATCAAGTATACTAAGGTAATTTTTTTAAAATTCTAAAATATTTTATTATAACAATAGGTATTAAAAGCTATTTGATATACATTACTTAAATGTGAATAAAAATTAATTTATTATAATTTCTAGATATTCATTAACAATGAATGGCATGATTCTGTAAGAGGAAAAACATTTCCTGTTTATAATCCTTGTACTGGAGAAAAACTTTGCTTAGTACAAGAAAGTGATAAGGTATTTAGTTTTTAAAAATTAAAATTTTTTAGCTAAGTGATGTTTGTTACCTAAATAATTGTTTGATATTTTATAAAATATAGTTATAAAAATTTGGATTGAAAAGAAACAAAATGTTTTCCATAGAATTTCAAATGTTATATTCTGTTTTTATTGCCTACAAAATTTTTATTTATATAACAGGGTTATCAATAGAAATGAACTAGACTAATTGTTCTAGGCTAGTTATTCTGCTGAATTAATAAATGCACCCTTACTGGTAAACTTTTTACACAGTTAAAGGTGCATTGATTAATTTTGCAGCAGTATCTATTGTTAGGTGTGATGATATTAAAACATTGACAGATAATTTTTTTCTTTAGTTATCCATGAATGTATAAAATTTATAAAATCTTTTTAATTTTAAAAAATAAAAATTATAAATTATTATTAAACTTATAAAACATTAAAAAATTAAAAATGAAAACAATTAATAAATATACTATATATTAAAAAAAAGTTAGGCCTATATAATTGCTTTTCTAATATTTTAACAAAAAGAAAAAGATATATGGGAAGACACCAAATTTAAGGTAGTGAGATACAACAAAATCCTGAAATCCATGTACCAGGAAATTGCATGAGCCAACAAATTGACAAAAGCATATAAATGAAATCTTATAATGTATTCACTATTTAGAAACAACAAAAACTTTTACAATAGTTATGAACTTTCAGGAGTCTATTCTATACAAATTTTGGACTACAGAATAGGGAAACAACTAAAGTACATCAGGGTGACAGCATATAGTACTATAGTACTGTATAGCACTATAGTACTGTCTATAGGAACATCACAAAAGTAACCTTCAACAGCATTGGCCTTCTATGCTTCCTGCGTGGAGGTGCAGGCCCACATTGACCAGACAAACTAATACATTATTCAAGACAACTTTCTAATCTTAGACATTTGAAAAGTTGGAAATATTCAAGGCCAACAGAACTAACAGCCATCAATTATAGGAACAACATTACCCTGTCAACAGCATGAATAATAGTGACTTTTGTTACACCATTTTTATAACACCCAATCAAATGGCATTTTTTAAAATTTTTAGAATTTAAAACAGTACATTTGATAGCACATATTGTGTTTGAATATACAGTATTTGTAAACCTGAAAATGGCTGTTTAAGATAATCAAAAAGTTTGTTTTTGTTTTGACATTAAATTTTATGTTTTTAAAGTGTTGTATTTGTGGGTTTTTGGTACTCTGAATCTAAATCATTAGCAGCATATTTATATTTTTTAAGTTTATACTTATTACACAATGAAGCATACTCAATACACACCAGGCTTTACATTTGTCTTTATTCTGCTGTTTAGGTGCCCAAAACATGTATCGACACCAATTTTTCATAATCTGTTATATGAATTAGCCTTGGACTTTACTACTAGTACAATTTTTTTTAAAATTATTCTTGACTTTGAAGTTAGTTTACTGAAATTTTAATATTTTATCGGAAGTAATAATGCTCATTTAAAGATAAGATTCAAAGTTCTGTTATTAGTCACTATCTAAAAATAGTGTAGACTTTATAATGTTCTCAAGAGATAATTTACAGTAGACATCATACACATTTTAATATCAATTTTGATATTAAAATGTGGCTGCTTATATGAAAAAAAATGTATTGATAATGATATATATATCTCATATATCTCCTCAGTCTCTAGATATTAATTCCAAAAATATTTTTGTATTATATATAATATATAGTAATAATATAATATGCATTAAATCAAATTTCATGCTAAGACTTAGTTATTAAGTTAAAAATTATTAATAAAATATTCATTGCAGTATAATTATTTTTTATTTCACTTTTTATTGATACGTAGCTTCAGCTGTTTTACAAGATGCTAAATACAAAAATTATTAGAATACATTCTTGTAGTTTAAACTACATGAGTTAACAAAAATATCCAGATATTAAAAATAACAATATTTTTGATATATCATTATTATACTTTAAACAATCTTTAGTAAAAATAAACACTTAAAATATTATCTCTTATTTAGTTTTTGTTTTTAGTTGAATTAAACTAAGAAATAAAACAAGGAGATAAATACAGTAATTTTTGAATTACGTTCTTGTAATATTTTAACTTAATTAACAGTAATGAGTTTACCAAAAAATCCTAAGATCTTGAAAAACATTATTTTGATGTATCATTCATTGCAGTATATTTTGTAATAAAATTCTTATATAATATTGTAGAACTTTATAAGATTTTGCAATATTTTTGTATTTTTTATATTTAATTATACTTGTTAAAATTTTTAATCAGAATTAATAAAAAATGTATATTATAGATCTATTACGATATAATTTGATTTTAATTTCATATAAATTTTATCCTAAAGTAGCATTTTTCCATGAAAATTGATACAATGATTTACAGTTTTTGAACTCATTGCATATAACTTAACATTTTAATAGTAGCAATTTTAAAATTATCTGATATATAGTATTGATTAAATCTATTAACTTATTGTCTGGATAATGTATGTCAACATAATGTTACATAAAGGCCATTTAAGATAGTTTTGATAATTATACTTAAAAATATTTCTGGGATTATGAATATAGTAAAACAATGTAATGAAAAATACAGTAATACCCCGACTTATGCGAACCCGGAGTTACGCGATTTTCAAATCTCGTCGATTCGTCTTTTGTTTGAGCGGCACACAGCTTTTGATTACTCACTCCCCCACACTATTGTTCAGTTAACATGTTCGGATGTGTCACACGGAATCGATGCACAGTTACAATTTATTTTGTGTTATTTATTTCTGTGTTTGTTATATCTAGGGAGACTCGAGAGACTCTATATGGTGATTTCTTGTAACCGTGAATGAATCAAAAGACGAGATAAGATTAACGAGAACATTTATTAGCTTACATACATCCGACTTGGATTTTAAACAAATTGCGAAATTATACCCCGACTTATACAAATTCGACTTACGCGGTTATCGCTCGGTCCCACCTATCACGTAAGTTCGGGGTATCACTGTATGATATATTATACAGTGTCCCAAAAATATAGATAATATATATGATTTTATTTTTTTTAAATATTAAGTATTTCTTAACAGCCCACCAGTGGCCGAGTGGTCTCCTTTGCCGCTCATAGCGGTGGTGACTGGACCCTAAACACTGGGAAGTTCGGTTGTGTGTTCGTGCCGCGATCGGACAGGCTGGCTGCTTGGAGTTTTCCGGGTTTTCTCCTTGCCAATAACGACTAAATAGGAGGCCAGTTCCCCATAAAAATCCTCCCGGAAGGCATTCTTTCCCCGCGCACGCGTGACACATCATTCAAGGAAGAAGGCAATGGCAAACCACTTCCTCAACTCTTGCCAAGAAAACTACATGGACAAGGAAAGACTTGTCCATGCAGTCACCAGGAGTCGACAACGACTTGATGGAACTTAACAACAACATTTCTTAACAATGTGAGTGGTTATTAATGTTTATTTATAGTGTAATACATACAATATTACATAATTGTTTTTACAATTATTTGACAGTTACATAAAGTGTTAAACACAAAATACTTGTTTTGTGATTAACACCAACCAAATGCCGAAATTCTATCGTAGATAGAATTTTGGCATTTGGTTGGTGTTTAGATATATTATGTATCAGGTTTAGCGATGTTTGTTTTGTGATGTCCCAAAAGTATAGATAAATTTAAACTTTGAGCTATAGTTCATAAAATAACTTGATGAAAATTCTTTTAATATGAAATGGAACTGCCATTATGTTTAATGACTTCAAAAATGCAATTAGACATTGATTTAATTAAATTGTAAGATTTCTGGATCCATTTGAAACCAGCACTCAATGATTTCTTGTTTAAGCTCTGAAACTGTTGTAAAATGCCTGTTGTTAGCATAAAGTTTTTAAGCAAGAATGCACAGACAAGTTCTCAATCAGATTTATGTCCGGGATTCTTTCTGGGTACTTAGTTGTTGAGACAGTCATGTTGGAAAATCCAGTCAGGTTCTCCAATTTTTTTCTCCAATAGTATTAAATTATTTTTTAGGTTTTCTTGATAACTTTTAGATATCTGTCTACCAGTTAAAATCACTAAATTTGATAAACCATTAAATTCAAAGCAGTTCCACACCATAAAGAACTACCACCCTTTTGCCTGCTGAAAAACTGCACTCTCTTTGTAATTTCATGTCGGTAATTAGGCTATCCAAATTAAATTTTTTTTTCATCACTGAAATGAACCAAGAATCATTGGTCATTCAACAGCATGTGATCTTCAGCCCACTGCATTCTTGCCAATTTGTGTGTTTTATTAGTGGTGGTTTTTTCATCATGGCAGAAATTTTATATGTGAAACTGCTGAACTTCGATGAACAGTGTTTTTCGATATTTTTAATTCACTTTCAAACAAAATTTGACAAACTGATTTATCCTGTTGTTATGCAGGGTGCACAATTCGATCGTCATCTCTTTGAGATGTGATTTTGGGTCTTCCTGACTGATGTTTAGAAGGTTCATTGCAGTATATTTTGTAATAAAATTCTTATATAATATTGTAGAACTTTATAAGATTTTGCAATATTTTTGTATTTTTTATATTTAATTATACTTGTTAAAATTTTTAATCAGAATTAATAAAAAATGTATATTATAGATCTATTACGATATAATTTGATTTTAATTTCATATAAATTTTATCCTAAAGTAGCATTTTTCCATGAAAATTGATACAATGATTTACAGTTTTTGAACTCATTGCATATAACTTAACATTTTAATAGTAGCAATTTTAAAATTATCTGATATATAGTATTGATTAAATCTATTAACTTATTGTCTGGATAATGTATGTCAACATAATGTTACATAAAGGCCATTTAAGATAGTTTTGATAATTATACTTAAAAATATTTCTGGGATTATGAATATAGTAAAACAATGTAATGAAAAATA